GAGCACTTTTGTGAATATGTGGGAACAAAAAAAGTAATTCAAATTATGGGTCGAAAGTGTCAGATAAGACCATTTTATTACGTGTTTACGTGTTCAATTGAAATATATGATAGTTCAAATATTTAAATAAAATTACTTGATAAATTTATGTAATTAACGATAGTTAATATTTTAAAAGATTAGTCAACTATAAAAAATTTATTTAGTAAAATCATTAAATTTAATTATAAATCAATAAAATCACTTTATTAATGCCTTTATATTAATAAAATTACGTATTTAAAATTATCATTAATTTTTTTTTAACATAACAAGATAAATTATTATGCCATAAGAGCTTCCAATTAGAGTGCTTAAAACCTCTCCCTACAGTAAAGTCATTAAATTTTGTTTTATATTAATAAATTCACTGTATATCTTTATATTAATAAAATTACTCAATTAAAATTATCATTAGATTTTTTTTACGTAACAAAATAAACTAATATTAATATTATGCCACAAGACCTTCTAATTGGAGTATTTTAACACTTCTTCCATGTTAGGATGAGTATATAGTTGACTTTCTATAACAAAAAACGAGTTTATTGATCATATTCAAAAACCTACATGTGGCAATCTTGTTAAATTCTTCGCTTTTTACTTTGTGAGATCGTTTAAAATATCATTGATATTTCATCTTCAAAAATTTATTGATTTAAAAAATTTGTCAATCTTAATTGATCCGTTGTCAATGGTATCCCACAATTGGCTTAATCTTAGTTACCTTACTTATTCAACCAAAAAAAAAAAGAAAAGATCATTGAGATGGATTCATGTTGTGATATCATAATTAAGAGAGTCAATTTTTGAAAATTTGTCAAAATGAACTTTACATATTTGAAAAATACAATAAAACTTGTCAAAAAGTAATAACAATTTACGATTTAAAATAGTTAAAAAAAAAACATATAAAAATCGTAATTAAAAAATTTGACTTTTTTTTAAATTCTAATGATCTCACGAAAATTGAGAGAGTGGATAATAAAGAGGTCCTAATTACAAAATTGGCAATCATAGTTATATATCATCTATTTTTTCCTTTCTAGATTCTAGTACAAGTTACTGAATTATAAACTAATTGACTTTTGATAACATGTTCCCAATTTTTCTGCCCTCCAACCCTTGTTGATTTTCTCAATAAAATCTTCAATTCTTTTCCTTAATTCATCATCTTCTTTTCCATCACTTCTCTCAAAATTGTAGTCATTTGTCTCTTTTCTTGTTTTTGCTAGATACATTTTTGTGTCAATTGTAATATTAGCATTCGTCTCTTCTGTATTTTCACACTTGAAATTCGTGTCTTGATGAAGAGATTGTTCACAATTGGCAGACTCATGATGTTGAAAATGAGCAGCATCGTCGTATGCTTCATTTTTATTGTCATGATTTACCTCCTTGAGTACTTCTGTTGTCGATATGTCACTTGATGCCGAAAATGTATGCATCTCTTTTGATGTGACATGTGTGTCCATTTCTCTATCACTCACATCTTCTACATTTTCACACTTGAAATTAGCAGATTCGTGATACTTAGAACGAACATCAACATTGTATGCTTCACTTCTGTTGTCTTGATTTATATCTCGGAGTACTTTTATGGTCGATGTGTTACTCGATATCAAAAATATTTGCATTTCTTGTGATGTAACACATGTGTCCATTTCTCTAACTTGATAATCAAGATCATTCATATATTTTTGAAATTGTGTAGCTTTGGAACTCCCTTGTGCTTGTTTTCTCTTGGACATGTCATGACCAAGAACATTGGTAGTGTTATCATCTTGTGAACTAGATTGGAAGCCACTTACTAGGAGAATAACTATGATAAAATTGCAAAAACAAAATATAATATGAGAATTTGAAGAAACCATAAATATCATCTCAAATGTGGAACTCAACATAGTTGAAAACAATATATCTCAAATTCGAGTCGTATGAAATAAATAACTATTCAATAAAGAATAGTTTAATCGATGAATCTCGAATACCAGAAAATCTCGAAAAAACAAAAAAAAAAAGTTGCAAGAAGATATATTGAGAGAATATTTGAGGGTATTCAATTTAAGTAGAATGTGTGATGAAGTGAGGTTATTTATAGGTTTGTTTTAATTCTTATATTGTGCTAAAGAAGCTTTTAAACCATTAATTTAGATTATTATAATTATTGTGTTTTTACTTTTGAGAAGCTTCCCTAGGAAGGACTATAATTTTTTTTTAATTATTTATGTGTGTCTACACTCTATATTACCCCATCCATCCCTAATTTATTTTTTTTAAAAATTCATGTGGGACATTTTTTGAATTATTAATGTGTTTACATTATAACTCGTCTGACCCGTTTATTTAAAAAATAATAATTTTTATTTAGTAATAGAAATTGTCCATTACATAGATATTGAGTCAATCATTTAAGTATACGTCATGATTTTAAATTGTAAAATCACATGCATGTTCAAATTAATGAGCACTTTGTGAGCATGTGAAAAAAAAAATTAAACTGATTTAGAAGTGTTAAATAGAAAGTTTTTTCAATATATTTATGTGTTGAATTAAAATATATAATAATTTAAATATTTAAATAAAATGATCAGATAAATTTAAGAGGTTATCGATTATTTAACCAAAATTTACATATGGTTCGTTTCTTTTTCTCAAGGACCTACATGTAGTAGTTGGTCGAGTATATATAATTGACTTTATTGTAACCAAAAACGAGTATAATTGAAGAACGTGCGTAGAAAACTAACCAAAAAAAATAATTCTAATTTAAAACTAAATATTATTATTTTTAAAAAAAATTATGGTAGGGGGTGGGAGGTTGGGGGAGGGGAGATATCGCTTTGGACCAACGGGTCACACGACAGGTACACTCATGTCACGGTCGATGCATCCAGACCTTGCCTGAGTAGTTGGCCTATGTCGCTGGCTAGATGTGTGCATGTCGCGTCAGATGCGTGCAGGCCTTGGCTAATGTTGTCTGCTATTGGCCGATGTTGTCAAACTATGAACTTGAAGGCGTTACTTCATTTGTCTCAATATATGTGATTAATTGAGATTTCAAAAGTTAATCAAGTTTTGTTTGACCAATTTTCTTTTATATACTCGTAATATTTAAATTATTAATTATTATCTACAATATTTTGACATAATTTTAAATACATAAATTTTATTTTAAAAAAAAACTTTAGGCTTATAAATTTAAATTTCGCGGTAAAAATTTCAAAACTTAACTTTTAAAATTCTAACTATATCATATAAATTAAAACAGAAGGAGTATAATATAGACACATTATTTAAAAAGGTACTCTCTCTCTATCTCTCTCTCAATCTATAGGTCATTGCTCAAATTTCGAGAGTCAAACAACTTAATTTTGATCGTGAGCTCAGACATAAAATCTTTTAAGTTTTTGAAATAATATTTACATATCTTAAAGTTACATAATGTTACTATTCCCTCCATTTCAAAATGAAAGATCTAGTTTGACTTGGAACGGAGTTTAAGAAAAGAAAGAAGACTTTTTAATCTTATGGTTCAAAATTAAAAAGTTATGTCAAATGTACCATAATACTCTTTAATCTTGTGATCTTAAACAAGTCACGTGGAAAATTAAAGTTCAAGTATTGCCAAAAAAAGAAAGCATTCTCTTTTAAATGAAGGAATATAAGTTACAGTAATTAATCACTTAAGATATTTTAAAAAATATTACAATAAAATAAAATTATATTTAAATTTTAAAATTTGAAAAGTTGCTACATAAATTGAGACGGAACTTCATGTGTTCACTCTGATCAATACTCAATTACCAAGTCAACTCACTGTTAGCTTTCCCTCCACACCTTGTGCCTAAAAACTTCTTGGGCACATTTTTCAAAAAAAAAAAACTTTAAATAGCCTCACTTCATCCCAATTTCTCAACATTGGTAAATCTTTGATCTTTCAAAGTCTTTTATACATTAAATCTTCGTCACTAATTCATCACTAAATTGTTTAAAATTAGATTATTTTAGTCGTTTATTGACTAAATTTTATCCATCGCTAAATCTAATTTTTTTTTTTAAAGTAGTGAAAAACCATTTTCTTACTTGAAAAGAGCAATTTCATCATAGCCATTCTCTTACTTGAAAGTTCCAAAACAAGTTCAAAAGAGAACAATATTTTACTATGGACTCTCAAATATCCAAGAAAAGGGCATCACTAGGCACTTCAAAACCAAAACATCTTGATTTTGAAGTAATAGAAATGGACACGTGTCACATCACAAGAAATGCAAAAGGTTTCGATATCAAGGGACACATCGACTATAGAAGTACTCAAAGATGTAAATCTAAGACAACAGAAGTGTTCAATATTACGAGTCTGCTAATTTTAAACAGTCTCATCACCAGGACACGAGTTTCAAGAGTGAAAATGTAGAAGAGGCGATTGAGATAACAATGCGTTTGGCAAAAATGAAAAAGAAAGTTTCAATAGTTTTGAGAAAAGTGATGAAAAAGAAGAGGATGAATTGAGGAAAAGAGTTGAAGATTTCATTGAGAGGATCAATAGGGGTTGGAGAGGAGAGAAGTTGAGTATGTGTTATCAAAGTCAATCACATGTATGATTGTCATCAATTTGTTTAGCTTATGTTAAAAAAATAAAAGAAGTAGGTGTTTGGACATCGATTTGATTGATAAAAAAGAAATTGACATAAATAGTCGTTCATCAAAGATGGTTAACTATGTATGTGTCATTTATAGAGCTGTCAAAATGAGTTGGCCCAACCCAATCGGACTAGAGAGTTAAATGGGTTGGAGCGCGTTGACCCTTTAATTAAAGGGCCTATAAAATAGCAGCTCAACCCAGCCTAAGCGGGTCATGGGTTGACCCTTCCACAAAAAAAATAAACATTATTACTCTCTTAGAAGGGGTATCAACGTTGACGTCTATGAACACGACATCAATTCATATAAAAAACACATTTATGAATCACACTTCGGTGAATACTTACAAAAAACACATTTATGAATCACACTTTGGTGAATACTTACAAAAATATATAATAACCAACGTAAGATTTAACAAATAAATGTTGATAATTCCACCATTTCTCCCACAAAAAACTAGTTGATTTAAAAGATTTCCAGCAACACAAGGCAACCCAAATACTTAACAAATCTAAATTACTAAATATTACATGACCCACTAATTAAAGTTTTACGACTCCGCTTCTTCTTCCACCATCGATCACATTTGAATCAACATGTGATATTGTTTCGTTAAGAAGTTCATCTTCATCTATAATTCACCATACAAGATATTGCAAAATTTTGTTTTTTTTTTCTTCAAAATATTTATTTATCAAATCTTGACAAATAAAACACTACTAAAAATATATATTAAAATATTTTCAAAAATTAATAGCCCGCGGGCTGACCTATGTGGCTTGCGAGCTGGACTTATGAGGCAAAGGGGCCAAACGGGGCGGGCTTAAAAGCCTCATTCCTAAATCGGCCAAAAAAAATTAAGCCCAACCCCACTTATTTCAAGGGTTGGGCTGGCCTCGCAGGCCAAGCCCATTTTGACGGCTCTAGCCATTTATGAGTGCAAATACTAGAATGATAATACTAGTATTACATTGAATTTGATGTAAAAGAATACAGAGGTTTCTGCAGAACTAGTGTGAGTATTATTGTGAGGATGGACAAGCAGACACCACGACGATGAATCCAGTATATCGCCCGGAATATTACCAGTGATACAAGTAAATAAGTAATCAAAATGGTTCCTATAAGTATAATCATCCCACAAAATCTGTTGACTCGTGTGTTTGTTAGACATGAACCATAAAATCTTTTATCTATGGTAGAAAAAGTTCTAATGTGGTTTCGGTTTATAACCATCAACAGCAAAGTTTCTTGTGGCAACAGGGAGAGCTAATCGAATGCCATCAAGTTCAGGTTTTGCAATTACCTGACAACCTAGACGTGACCTGAAGACGATGAATGTATGAGAATGAGAAGATTCATAGATCATGGGAACTGCTAAATAGTAGGAAGCAAGAGACATACCTGTCGGTGAGAGCAAAAGCAAGATCCAACATATCATTTTCTTCATCTGTTGGATCTTCTAGCTTGTTGTAATACTCCATATCCTGTGAAACGCCACAAGAATAGATAAGAAATACAGCGTATTTATTAGATCAAAACAAGCAAGATGGTATTGAGTAGCTCAGTAGCTCCCAGCCAGGCGGAAAAAAGAAGCCAATGACATTATCCCGATCACAATTACTTACCATAACAATCACATGACATGTGGAACAGGCAAGCGAAGCTTCACATGCTCCTGCATCAAAGGCCATACAGTTTTAGTAAAGTTAAGCAAAGCATTTGGTTGTCGTGCTTAGAAATGTTAACACCACAAGAGTATCTAGAAGTGTTCTAACAACGTTTTTTTATTTATCTGACGGTGTCCTAAACCACAATAAGTAGGCATGCATGTGTCAATCATGTAATTTTGCCTAGATGTATGCATCTGTGGCTATGGAGTATCTAATACTGAAGTCGAAACTGGAAGAGTATCGTGAACATAAAAACTTTCATTTAAGACGGTCTTAATAAAATCGTCCCATGTGCATATCTTCAACCACCATCTCTCCAGGAAACAGTAAAGATATGTTACAAACTTCCTCTCTTACCATCACCATCCCCGCTTCAGTAGTATCTCTAGTATGAAGACGGTGCCTTCTGGAACTCATAGAGCCCAACCATACCACTAACTTCGAAACAATTTTGGGAATTCCAACACATTATGTTCGAATATGTAAGGGAACACTACGTTCTTTTCCATTGTTCTCTTGGAACTTCTTGGATAGGTAGGACTGCAAGATGATGTTAGATGAAAATTCTAACATATCCAATAAATGCCTCCCAACTGACTGGAACTAGTACCAAGATTCACTAAATCGCCTTATCATAATTAAAATATCAGCAAACTTAAGTAGTTGACGATTTATAAGATCCGTTCAATATATATGAACCAAGACACCTCAACAAAGCTGACCTTCAAGTTCAATGTCATTTTCATGTGCAGCTTCTAACATAGACATTCCAACAGGGACCTTGATATGGTTCTCTTCACCATCCTTGTCAACAAAAGTTACAGATATTCTGCAAATCACAAAGAGACCATAGAAAAGTAAGTTTGTGGTAACTAAATCAGTGTGGCATAATCTCAGACATTCCATCAGCTAAATTGTAGAGGCTAACTATGATAAGCTAATGATGGATGAAATCAAGGAGATAGCACAAAGTTCAAAAATTACCATCATAATTCATATAGAAAAAGGTTATTAAATATCTGATACATAATCTATATGAGGAAGTGCAATATATGTCAGACATAAGTTTAAGGAGGAAATGTTGGATTGTAACAAAAACTTCCCCTGGTGACTTCATGCATTGGACATAGAAAAGCAAATGAGATATTTGTCCAAAATTTTAGGTAGTTTTTATAAAATAATAGATATAGATAAGTAGGAGTGAACGTGAATTAGTTTCATGATCCTAGAGCGGGAAAGAACAAATCTGATTTTTCGAGGATCAATTCTGATCCAGTTAGAATTAAATAAAAATACCGAACACATACCTAGCATCTCAATCTATAGAAGTTGATTTAGAGAAGGGCCTACTTTATAAATATTCTGTGAACTCTTCTTTCCGTCCATATAAACGCTTATGGCACCACTTACTGCTAGGTTGGAAAATTTCTATACTGCTAGGTTGGTAAATTTCTATGGTTTTACTTCCAATGGAACTTGTAAAAAAAGGTATCATACAAGAGTGTACTCTAATAAGATCTGGCCCAAACTAGATCTGGATCAATTCAGAAGAAAAAAAAAGATAAAGTAGTTGAAAAGATCAAAGCTTGTCTAATCTACTCTAAACTAGACATTTTCCAAAAAGAACCTAATAGAAGACCTTTGAAACCTAAATTCCATTCAAGACTTCCCCTTTAACAAGTAGATCACCAATTTAATTATGTCATTACTGTAAAGTACAATTGTGACCAGCAACATAATCTCATCTTCCCCCTACAGAAACATAAGTACACTCATTCAAGAGGAAAAGCGTAAGAGAAAAGAGAACGGAGTAAGCAATTCATGCAAGAACTTACTTTTGCATTTCCTCATTTCCTGCAGTAGTACAAAATTGTTCATGCCTCTGAAGCACAAATCAAAGTTCAGCGCATCAAAAGAGGTGAAAAAAATCATACTTTAAAGCAGAGAGAGAAACACAAACCAACAAAATGGGGTGCTAAAGAGAGTTGTCGAACACAAGTAATTAATCAACGAATTCTAGAACAATACTAATTATTAGATTCATCTAGCAAAGCTACTGACCAGGCCCTGTGTAGAAGAATATCGCAACAAGTCTGTGTATGATGTCCTCGGGATACAAGCTAATGGGGCTGCAATTCATCAATAAAGAAAAGGTCATTCGGATAATGAATATAACTCCCATCAACTTTAAGATAGCAGTACACTGATTAATTGTAGAACTAATACTTTGATAAATCAACACAACAGACAGGATGTCTAGAAATAAAAGTAAAAACTGTGTGAAATTGAATCTTGAAATAAAAAATGAAAAAGAAAACTATGTAGAAATTGTGTTTGGTGAACCAGATTCATCTATCAGGTCATGCAATTGCTGTGTAAAAGAGTTGTTCCATGCATCCAAAGAATAGTTTCTTTTAAAAAAATGTTTTATGCTCTTTGCATTATTCTCACTGTTTTGGAACAATGTCCTCTTTCTTTTGACCAATATTATCTAAAAGGGGCAGAATGGTATAGTTCTCAGATTCTTTTTCTTATTGGCTACATTATTTAATTCTCTCCAAAAAATTTGTAACTTGTATTAGTATGCCTCTTGATATTATTTAACTCAACTTTGGATTTGCATTTCATCTTAATTGTGGATCTTGTCTAATTTTAAGTATGGATGTACATCCACATACTAAATCATCTTGATTGTTGGGCTTCAACCCTACTTGATTTGGAACGGTCTCTCGTTATTTCATTTTGCTTTGATGTGATTGCACAATGTATGTGTTGGTTACAATTTACAATTTGCAAAAGATTTCTTATATACCAGTCTTGGTTTAGCAAATTCTGTACGATGGACAAAAGTAGGTTTTATACATCACCATATTTTTCTCTATCCTTGTGATTTCTTTCTCCCTTTAAAATTCATCAAAGAAAAAAAAAACTTGTCCATTCCCTCCTATCCTTTTGTCCTTTTCCATAAAATTCATAGGAATATAACCAAATCCCAAAAAGAAAAAGCCACAAATATTTAGTTCATTGCACAACTTGTACTGAGGCTTTCATCCGTAAATACTAGCCAGCAGTTGTACTTTTTCTGCTTAAGCAATGGGATATGACTGATCAAGTTACCGCCCTCTATGTGGAACTGAAGATGAGTCAGTGGACCATTTGTTTTCAGCTGCAATTTGGGAAAAGCTCTAATCTTGGCAAGTGAGGCTGCATGGATGGTGGTAGCAGGGACTGTGTTATTTCATTTGTCTAGAGAGAAACAATAGGGTGTTCCAAGGCAAACACAAAACAAAGTCTCCTGAGGTTCTTCTAAGGCTTATCATTCAAGATGTTACGGTGAGGGTGTGTATGCAACCAAAACTTGCAGGAATAATGAAGCATTTAGATTGATATTCTCAGTGTTTTGCACTTCTCTTTTTATATAACCGTAATGTCCAGGTCAACTTGTACACACCTCGACTAATTTCAGGAGATACATGTCACCTCCCACCAACAAACGGGTACCAAATAACTCTGTTCACCAACGCTAAATGGGAAAGAATCACCAATTTTTTTTGAACCCGAGACTCGGGATTCTCACCTCATTCCTCTGACCACTAGGACACACTCTTGGATGCAATGTTTTGCACTTTTGAGTGACAGTTTAGAAGTTTTTCCCTTTTGTTTCTATACCTAATTCTGGACTTTGGTACTTTATCCATATGCCAATTTCTCTCCATTTTTTTAAGCTTTGTACAAAACTTTACTTTTTGCTAATTAAGTCTTCATCACCCAAAAAAAATTGACAGCAATTCTGCTACTCTTATACAATTCCTCTCCCCATCAACAAAAAAAAAACACATATTTACTGAAAAATCAACATGAAATTGCAGATACATATAAGTCTAATAAAACATACCACTGATATAATTCAAAGGAAACAAATTCCTAACTCGATTCGATATCTCCGTGCAATAACCTCTACAACCAATTTTCAGCAATAACTCGCATGTCTGTAATTGCAGCAAAAATTCTTCAGTACTAAAACGAATCAATTTTTTTGCGTATAAAAACACCTTAACATAAATCTTAAAATTTATGCAAAATAGTCCTGCAGAACAACTTACAGAGCGTGAAACATAGCCGGTGAGCCGGTGGGCAAGTCGGAGATTTTGGAAGCCCACCATTTGTGGTCGCCGGAGAAAACTGAAGGCGCAATGAGTCTACGATTCAGGGGTTACTAGTAAAGTATTATTATTTCCACAAAAACCCACCTAAAACCCCTTTTGACAAATATTACGTAATTTTTAACTTGACTTCATATGATATTTTATCGTATAGGATATAATAAATTTATGAAAACTGATACAATTAAATTTAAGCAAAAAAATGTAAAATGATAAATTGTTAGTTTTATTTCTAAATTATTGACATTCATAAAAATACATTTCTTACTTTAATTAATTTAACTTAAAAATATTTTTGATCTTGTCATATGACTTAATAAATGGTCTCAAACTCTTGTATGATTATGAAACTCTAAGTAAAATATCGAAAGAAGTGTTGAAGATAGTTTTAAATATATTTTGGACCATAAAAGGTGACAAGGATGCGCGTCTTTTTGAAATGTGATACCAATTAATACCAAAAAGTCAAGATACTTAATTGCGTATGTAAATTATTATATTCTCAATGTCAATAACATATTAGCAAATATTTTAATTCAAAAATTGCATAGATGGTACATACCAAAAGTCGAGAACTTGAATGAGAAAAAAAACAGAACAAAAGTCAAAATAGAGGTAGAAGTGACTGTAAAGTACGAAGAAGAAGAAGAAAAAAATGAGGAAGACAATATGAAGAAGAAATATGTATTGGTTGGACTTTAGAGTAGCCAGAAAAGTTTGGCTGATCGTTAAGTCAAATCAAAAACCGTAAAAGTATTTTTAACTTTTGAAACCCTAAATTGGTTGCATTTTCTTTTAAAGATAACAAAAGGCGTCGCCTTTCTTGCCTCTCGCCTTTTGTATCCATGGACGTCTCATTTTGGAGATCGCTTCACCACAAAGCTAAAAGGCAATGGAGGGTTGCCTTGTCTCGCCACTTGCAACTGGCGATAAGGTGATCACCTTTTACAATACTGGTTCTAAACAAGCAAGAATTTTGGGGATATATCTCACTGATATTGCAAAATTGAAAATGTATTTAGGTCCAGTTAGTCAAGTAAAAGATTATCCTTAAATCTGTCACCCGTTCAGAAACTACTCGAATAATTCACATCGAATTTATGAATGTTTTTAGTACTTCTCTCAACTATAACTACTAAAGATAATTATAATCTAAACTAATACATAAAATTGCTCTTTAATTTGATTTCAATACGAATCAACATTTTCAACTTCGAATGCGTATAAATAAATATCAAAATTTATATAAAATGAAAGAAACAAATACATATATTTAACGTAACATCTAACATGACAATTGACGTAATACGTAATCATTTATAAGGTTGCGATTCATAAATTTTACCCCAAAAGTTTCCCGGTATAACAAAATTTAGGCCCAATTGCAACAAATTAGCTTCGTTCCCGGTATAAGCCTTTATATATATCTACTGTGTGTCTGTGTGAGAGAGAAAACACGGCGATGAAGAAACCCGGCGGAGCGGAGAAGAAGAAGGTGAGACGATCTCCCGGTGTCGCATCTAACGGCTCGAATAGCATTTCTTCTACGGTAACTCTCACCGGAAAACATCATACATTCATTAAAAATTGTGTTCAATTTGAAATTTCTCGTGTTTTCTGAAAGGATCTATGTGTGTTTTTGTATTGCCTTAGTTTTGATTGTTGAGATTTAGTTTAGTTTTTTTTTTTTGGTATAATGTTGTGCCCTATTTTTTTTGAGAATGATGAATTTTTTTTATTAGGAGGTTGTGGTTTATGGAAATGTGAAGGTATGTTTGATAAATTTGGTAATGATTTTGTTGATTGTTATGTATAGGTGATTTTGTTAATAACTATTGCTAAATTATGCTAGCTATTTAATGTAGTTTCTGAATTTGCTGAATTTGTGCTATAGGATGCAAAGAGACTCCAGTTTTAGGTAATAGTTGTTTTTTGGAGGAGATCTAATTGGTAATTTTGAGCCTAGGGTTTATTCGGAACAACATTTCTACTTCCTAAGTTAGGTAGAGGTAAGTTCTGTGTAAATTGTGCTCACGTGCGGTTTAAGAAAAATGAAGTGTCCAATTCAGTTTGTGCTCACCTAATGAAATCCTCGGGCAGCTGCTACAGCGCACTTGCATATTTGAGAAAATCTGTCCACTAAACTGGAGCAGATGGGTTCTCACAGATGTACATTGGAAGACATGGAATAAAAAGAAGTGCAAATCATCTATTATCATTACTAGATAACTCGACACCAGATTCTAGGAAAATTTAAGGTTCTACATTATGAAGTGATTTTGTCTGAGTTTGATTCCTAACCTATTTCCCAAAACTGTTTCTCTCAATGGAACTAGTATCTTTTCCGTTTGCACTTAAATCTTTGCTCCTCTATATATTTGTATATTAGGATTTTCTTTGGAGAAAGCCTGAAAGGTAGAGTCGTCAAAATGGACTGGCCCTTGAGGCCAGCTTAACCCATCCCGCTATTTATTAATCACATTTAGAACTGACCCATTCTGCTATTCTAGTCAGGTTGGGTTAAGATTTATTAAACACATTTGAAACTGAGGTTATAAGCCCAGCCCCAATCAGCCGTCCTGTGGGTGAAAAGGCTATTTAATTTAAATTAAAAATTGTGAAAAAGAATTAGTAAAAACTAGGATTGATTACCGAATAAATCTTAATATCTTACAGAATACTTTACTCATTTAGTATTAGACCCCTCATATTAAAATTAGTAATCACCTAGCATAAAAGATGCATCTAGCGTAAAAATATTGGTACACTTGTTGCTACTCAAAATTGATTGCACGACTATACCAAAAATGAAATGGGTAATATATTTAAAGTGAATTTAAGTATTATTAATTTTTGAAATGAAGTTATTTGATGATGTTTAACTAATCAAATTTCCATATTATGTAAAAAAGATAAAGATGTTAATTAAGAAAACTGATCCATTATTTGCTTATTTCCGAATCGATGTTTGGTTAAGTTAGTGCCAGCTACTATCTTTGTACATCTTCTCTGCTTGTTTTGTCCCAAATATATGCCGTCCTTTTTTGGACGTTATATGTCTATAAATTGGTCGTAATGTAGGTTTTGTTACCTAATACTATAGGTTTAAATATGAAGAGATTGTATTTTTATAACTTTTTAAAGCTGGGTTTCAGCAAACTCTCAATAGTATCTGTCGAATCAACATATTTATAAATATCTAAGATGTAAGATTTCTAGTTCACATACATGATATGTGCTTTCTAATAATCTTCTGGCATAATCCAGTTTAAGGGACTGAGTATATGAATAGTTTTATTCTCCATTTTGTGATTGGATTGCAGAACAATTCAATTAATGGGAGAGACTCTAAACCATGTTGAAACCATAAAAAAGAAAGCTGAACAAGAAAAGGAAAAGTAAAACTCTACGTTGTTCAAATCCTCGAAAAAATGCACCTGTACTCATGTTGGATTCTCCAGAAATGCATTACTTTTGAAGGATCCGAGCAACACAGGAAAAAGGATAGAGTTTTGAAGCAAGAAGCAGAAAGAAGGGCTTCTGAGGGATCTCATAGAAATCCTACAGGAATGTGTTAGGATATTTTGGGGCTGTCTTCTATTGTACAAAGCTAGAGGCGTGGTCTTCTCCTTTTTTGAGAAAGAGAATATGCATCTTTTGAACATCTCCTCCCCCTCTTCTTTTCTCCCTGTTGAACATTTCCCTTCCCTCTTGTATCACTGGAAAAAAACCTCAATTATGCTGTGAAAGATTTGATTTTCAGTTAAAAGAGCTGTAGAAGGGCCAGTTTGCCAATGTTTATGAATGAGAATACATTTACTTGATTAAAAAAAAACTTAATTATCTTTGGCTACTCTGAATGGAGATTTGCTAAACTAGGATTAGCGGCTGATGAGAAAAAAAGTAAATATGCTGAGGCTGTAAAGCTGTATTGAATCAGGTGAACATTTTTTCTTTCTCATATCAGTTGCTGCTTAGTTATTCTTAGGGGCTGAATGCTGACACGTAGAAAAATCAAGACGATTTTATATAGGAAGATTGAGAGCTTGCATCTGAGCTAACTGTTTGTTGCATGTTACCCTTTAGCTGGTACTTGTTTGTTGAATTCATTAAGATGTTATTGTCCTCTAACTTTCCAGTTTGTGACTGTGTGGTTTTGTAATTTTTTGGTGACGATGTCTTTTGTAAATTGTTTTATCCATTTTTTGTTTACTTTTATTTTCAGAAACAAGGGGCGAAGGACGTCTTCCAGCTGTTTGCCGAGAAAGCAAGAGATCATAAAGGCTTAGTTTCACGTTGGGCTGTCCTGCAGGAGACACGGGTAGAGTATTTCAGGGGAAAAGATTTTGTCGCTTTTGTGAGAAATCATTCAGAACTTAAAGACATACTAGAGTCAGATAAAGGTTTGGAGCCTGAAGATATTGCCAACATTCTGCTTCAAAAGAATCTTTTAGTCCGCTGTGATCGTGTGGTGAAAATTGTTCGACCTGGGAAGAAAAAACTATCTTCTTGGCCAGCACATTTAGAGATATACCATGTGAGTATCTTTCTTGATTCAGTCAACTATTGGGGATGTTAAAAAGTTCCTGACTTTATGTTTAATTTTATCTTTACTTATCTGTGGCTCTGCTCACACATGTATTTATGGTCCTATCATATCTGTGACCAGTGAGTATGACATAGATGTGGATCCTCCATATATTTCAAAATACTTCCTAAAAGTTGTGCATGCTATGGGGGTGAGTGCATCTGTTATTTACACCACCTGAGACCTTATTACATATTTTGGTCTTTCCATGGGTTTACGATGCTTTGATCCTAACTTGAACTTTGCATATGGACTTAGAGAATGGATGAATGGTAGGGTTACTGGGTTAACTATTTTGCTAGAAGAATCACAAAATGATATGGATGAATGGTATGGTTTTGAAATATTTATATGCATTTCTCTAACAGTATTTGCTTGGATCCCTATCAATGGAAGCTTAGTTTCAATGTGATTGGCGGGTCCAACTGGTACACTTCCTGAGATAGTAACAGATTTCATTAATATAAAAGAGATGTTCTTAGCACAAAGATAGTGCTAAGAGATAAACCATAGTCGCGAGCTTCCAAATGAATAAAACAAAACAAAAACCAAGTCTTTTTCAGCTACAAGGATCCAATGAGATCAACTAGGGACTTCACATCTTGTACTAAAGCTTCTTTACACCAAAAAACAAAAATATACAATTCAATTTAATCTTCTGTTCAGAATTTGCTGAATCTTCAAAATTTTTGGAGTTCCTTCCACTCAAATTTTTCACCAAATGCAGGCTGTATCTTTAAGCGTTATTTTTACATCTACAACAAATTTCCACATTTTGACTTTTTTTGGGTAACCTGAAATTAATAATTTTCCATAGTTTGCTTTCAGCTTTTGATGTTAAGTTTCTTCAATTGATATCTGCAGGATCAAGTATTTTCTGAAAATGATGCCTTTTTTGCATGGGCATTTGTGAAAAGAAGACCCCTGTGGCAAACACTTCTCTCATTTTTCTGGCCGGTGTTAACACTAGCAATTTGCTTGTTTCCTGTTTATCCCCATTGGGCCAAATTGCTTGTACTATACACGTGTGCTGGTCTCCTCCTTCTCATACTTAGTCTGCTATTCAGTAAGTATCTGTTGCTTGTTACCCTTTTTTTTTCTCACACTTGTTATTCAGTTTTATTTTATTCATATATAGAGTTGTATCATGCATTGTGATGTGGCTACTCTAAAACTTGAAAGCATTACAGCTATTGGATAAAATACTGTGGCTTGTGAGGGATTCGTCTTATGATTTAGCAAGTTGATAGGTTTCTTCAATCATCTAATACGCTGTTGGCTTCACACTTATCATGTCAGCATCACGTTTTTGAACACATATTAGCTAATTTTATATATCATAGCTGACTACTAAAGCAATGATGCTTGGGCTTGCGTGAGATTAGAGGCTTTAGGTACTATGTACAATTCATACATATATATAGTGAAGAACATAAACTGCAAGTTATTGTTCCCCACATGTTTCTAATTTGGAAAACATTCCAAACTTCTTTTCTTTTCTTTTGCGTTCTTCTTTAGGCTTGAAGTAATTATGTTCAACATAATTCTATGAAGTGAGGACAAGGTTGCTTATCACTCATTTGGTTTTATTAAACAATGTTAACCTCTAAGAGGCAGGAAAGAAGAATTTCACACCCTTGTCAGTGAGTTACAGTGGTGTATGAGACCTCCATGTTTTTCTCTTGATCTATAAGAAGCATTTAAGCTGGACAAATGGATGTCATTTTTTCAATAACTAGGATTTTTGAATGCCTGCACACTTTCGTTAGTTCACAATACTGTTTACTATCGTTGGAACTCTGCAATAGGCCGATAGCTTCTTTTCGCTTTGTGTCTATGACAGCTCTGTGGGAAGTGCTAACCATATTCTGTTATCCTTCACTTGAATCATCCAAATCCCTAAGTGGCACTCATCAACAAATTTTATTAAAGTATTTCTGCTTTAAGTGGTGTCTAATATTTCCTTTATTTGTGCAAAATATGCCTGTTGTAAAACGGTAATTCTGGATGCTCGTCAAATTTGTCATGTATATTTTTGAGTCTGCTATTGGGCATAAATCACCATTACAAAGAACAATTTTGTGCTTGCAGTAAGAGCTTTGATCTTTGGTGCTATTTGGGTACTTTTTGGGAAGCGTGTATGGTTTTTCCCCAACATTCTGGCCGAGGAAGCAACACTGCAAGATTTGTTCCAAGTTTGGCCTCAGAAGGATGAAGGCGAGCGACCTAAGTGGACAGCAAGGCTTTTCTACGCGATAGTAGCTGTGGTTGTTATTTTGCTCCTGAGGCATCATGCTCCTGACGAGGCTGCAAGAGCCAGGTTTGCTCTCTTGCTCTTTAATCTCTTAAGCTTGATGTCGTATCTTCAAAAAAGAAACGAACTTCAGTAGCAAATAATCTGCAATTTTGTGAATCAATAACCTAAAATCCCAAGAGCCAGTAATTCGGTGGCATCTTCTCTCATTCTGAGAAAGAATTCCTTTATTATAAACTGTGCAGGTATCAGAAACGAGTTTCCAACATTATCGATGATGTGCTCGAGTGGTCTCCAAGACAGGCTTTATCAGGGATGATGGATACCGTTGTCAATGTCACCAACTCAAATGATAACGCAACTGATGATAGCAAAACTGGCAGTGAAAGAGTTCATTTCACAGACGATTTAGACGAAGAAACCGATCTGAAAGAAGAGAGTGAGGATGTTTTTGGAAGCTTAGAAGATAGTGATCATCAGCAACATGACCTGTAATTTATATAAATGTTGAAACATATGCTTCAAAATTATTATTTTACTTATTATGTATCAAGTTTTCATCCTCTTTGTTATTCTCTTTTGTGGTTGAACTTTATTTTGGGGCATTTCATTGCCAACTGCTGAATTTGAGAACCAAGGGTGAGTTCCCTGTGAAAAAGAGAAAAAAAGGGTTTTTGATATAACTCTCGGTTTTGTTATTTAAAGCTGATATAACTCTCGTTATTAAAATGGCTTATAAAGTTTGAGGGATATTATTATAGTCTATGTGGTCTAATAAAATATTAGGATATTTCTGTCTTGTTTCATTGTGAAATTTAAAAATAAATAAATTTATTTTTGAAATAACTAAGATGTTTGAAAATTGGAGTTAGGCTGACCATGAATGCAATTGTGAGATGTTTTTTGATTTGTTGTGAGTAATTTTGAGTGAGAAAAGTGAAAATATATTTTTAGTTTTGTAATTTTTCGAATTCTTACGGTTCTTAGAATTCAACTTAGATTAAATTTTGAATTCGTATAGTTAAAGGAAATTTTTTTAGGGTCAAACATTTATTTTAATTTTCAACTAATCAGACAACATATAGTAGTTAATTTTGGAAAAAATGCATAAGTATCCTCAATTTATGTTCGAAATAATTTGTTACATAATTTTTTATCTTTTTTTGATCTACGTGACACTATCTTCTGGGTCTACAACGTGTTGATATTTTCTCAAGTTATATGCTTGATAGTATCACGTATGTCGAAAAGAAGTAGAAAATTATTTGGTAAAATAAGTTAGGAAATTAATATGACCTTAGTTATGGTATAAATGTGTTTCTAAAATCTCGGATATAGATTATGAACACTTATGCATTTTCCTAATAATTTTTATTTAATGAATATTAGAGATAAAATTAAATACCCAACTTAAAAAAAATTAAAATAAATTTGAATGGAAAAAAAAACTCACATTTTTTTGTTATTTCGGCAGAAACACATTCTATATGAATTTATCTCAATTTAATTTAATTATGAGAAAAAAGAACAAATATATTTCAGAACTATCTTAAATGGTATGCATATACCCTTCATCATATTTTTGGGTGATCCGGATTCCGACGTCAAAAATGCCAAATTTTTCCGTGGACGTCCGTCAAGACCTTGTCTATGCATACGGTTGGCCATCACGACTTGTCCGACCCATTTGGAAGGTCAAACGAGCCCCGAAACGAGCATACCCCTCATTTCGACGATTTTCGTGTGCTATAGCACACCATTTTTTAGATGATCCGGATTCCGACGTCAAAAATGCCAAATTTTTTCGTGGACGTCCGTCAAGACCTTGTCTATGCATACGGTTGGCCATCACGGCTTTTCCGACCCATTTGGAAGGTCAAAAGAGCCCCAAAGCGAGCATACCCCTCATTTCGACGATTTTTGTGTGCTATAGCACACCATTTTTTGGGTGATCCAGATTCCGACGTCAAAAATGCCAAATTTTTTTTTAGACGTCCGTCAAGACCTTGTCTATGCATACGGTTGGCCATCACGGCTTGTCCGACCCATTTGGAAGGTAAAACGAGCCCCAAAGCGAGCATACCCCTCATTTCGACGATTTTCGTGTGCTATAGCACACCATTTTTTGGATGATCCGAATTTCGGCGTCAAAAATGCCAAATTTTTTCGTGGACGTCCGTCAAGACCTTGTCTATGCATAAGGTTGGCCATCACGACTTTTCTGACCCATTTGGAAGGTCAAACGAGCCCCTAAAAGAGCATACCCCTCATTTTGACTATTTTCGTGTGTTATAGCACACCATTTTTTGGGTGATTCGGATTCCGACGTCAAAAATGCCAAATTTTTTTGTGGACGTCCGTCAAGACCTTGTCTATGCATACGGTTGGCCATCACGGCTTTTCCGACCCATTTGGAAGGTCAAACGAGCCCCGAAGCGAGCATACCCCTCATTTCGACGATTTTCGTGTGCTATAGCACACCATTTTTTGGGTGATCCGGATTCCGACGTCAAAAATGCCAAATTTTTTCGTGGACCTCCTTCAAGACATTTTCTATGCATACGGTTGGTCATCACAGATTGTACGACCCATTTGGAAGGTCAAACGAGCTCCGAAAGGAGCATACCCCTCATTTCGATGATTTTCGTGTGCTATAGCACACCATTTTTTGGGTGATCCGGATTCCAACGTCAAAAATGCCAATTTTTTTCGTGGACGTCCGTAAAGACCTTTTCTATGCATACTGTTGGCCATCACGGCTTTTCTGACCCATTTGGAAGGTCAAACGAGCCCCGAAGCGAGCATACCCCTCATTTCGACAATTTTCCTGTACTATAGCACACCATTTTTTGGGTGATCCGGATTCCGATGACAAAAATTCCAAATTTTTTCGTGGACGTCCGTCAAGACCTTGTCTATGCATACGGTTGGCCATCACGGCTTATCCGACCCATTTGGAAGGTCAAACGAGTCCCGAATCGAGCATACCCCTCATTTCGACGATTTTCGTGTGCTATAGCACACCATTTTTTGGGTGATCCGAATTTCGACGTAAAAAATGCCAAATTTTTTCGTGGACGTCCTTCAAGACCTTGTCTATGCATACGGTTGTCCATCACGGCTTGTCCGACCCATATGGAAGGTCAAACGAGCCCCGAAGCGAGCATACCCCTCATTTCGACGATTTTTGTGTGCTATAGCACACCATTTTTTGGGTGATCCGGATTCCGACGTCAAAAATGCCAAATGTTTTCGTAGACGTCCTTCAAGACATTGTCTATGCATACGGTTGGCCATCACGGCTTGTCCGACCCATTTGGAAGGTCAAACGAGCCCCGAAGCGAGCATACCCCTCATTTCGACGATTTTCGTGTTCTATAGCACACCATTTTTTGGGTGATCCGTATTCCAACGTCAAAAATGCCAAATTTTTTCGTGGACGTCCGTCAAGACCTTTTCTATGCATACAGTTGGCCATCATGGCTTGTCCGACCCATTTGAAAGGTCAAACGAGCCCCGAAGCGAGCATACCCCTCATTTCGACGATTTTCGTGTGTTTTTGGGTGATCCGGATTACGACGTCAAAAATGCCAAATTTTTTTGTGGACGTCCGTGGAGACCTTGTCTATGCATACGGTTGGCCATCACGGCTTGTCCGACCCATTTGGAAGGTCAAACGAGCCCCGAAGCGAGCATACCCCTCATTTCAACGATTTTCGTGTGCTATAGCACACCATTTTTTGGGTGATCCAGATTCCGACGTCAAAAATGCAAAATTTTTTCATAGACGTCCGTCAAGACCTTGTCTATGCATACGGTTGGCCATCACGGCTTGTCCGACCCATTTGGAAGGTCAAACGAGTCCCGAAGCGAGCATACCCCTCATTTCGACGATTTTCGTGTGCTATAGCACACCATTTTTTGGGTGATCCGGATTCCGACGTCAAAAATGCCAAATTTTTTCGTGGACGTCCGTCAAGACCTCGTCTATGCATACGATTGGCCATCACGACTTTTCCGACCCATTTGGATGGTCAAACGAGCCCCAAAGCGAGCATACCCCTCATTTCGCCGATTTTCGTGTGCTATAGCACACCATTTTTTGGGTGATCCGGATTTCGACGTCAAAAATGCCAAATTTTTTCGTGGACGTCCGTCAAGACCTTGTCTATACATACAGTTGGTCATCACGGCTTGTCCGACCCATTTGGAAGGTCAAACGAGCCCGAAGCGAGCATACCCCTCATTTCGACGATTTTCGTGTGCTATAACACTCCATTTTTTGGGTGATCCGTATTCTGACGTCAAAAATGCCAAATTTTTTCGTGGACGTCCGTCAAGACCTTTTCTAGGCATACAGTTGGTCATCACGGCTTGTCCGACCCATTTGAAAGGTCAAACGAGCCCCGAAGCGAGCATACCCCTAATTTCGACGATTTTCGTGTGTTTTTGGGTGATCCGGATTACGACGTCAAAAATGCCAAATTTTTTTGTGGACGTCCGTGGAGACCTTGTCTATGCATACAGTTGGCCATCAAGGCTTGTCCGACCAATTTGGAAGGTCAAACGAGCCCCAAAGCGAGCATACCCCTCATTTCGACGATTTTCGTGTGCTATAGCACACCATTTTTTGGGTGATCCGGATTCCGACGTCAAAAATGCCAAATTTTTTTGTGGACGACCGTCAAGACCTTGTCTATTCATACGGTTGGCCATCACGGCTTGTCCGACCCATTTGCAAGGTCAAACGAGCCCCAAAGCGAGCATACCCCTCATTTCGACAATTTTCGTGTGCTATAGCACACCATTTTTTGGATGATCCGAATTTCGGCGTCAAAAATGCCAAATTTTTTCGTATACGTCCTTCAAGACCTTGTCTACGCATACAGTTGGCCATCACGACTTTTCCGACCCATTTGGAAGGTCAAACGAGCCCCGAAGTGAGCATACCCCTCATTTCGATGATTTTCGTGTGTTATAGCACACCATTTTTTGGGTGATCCGGATTTCGACGTCAAAAATGCCAAATTTTTTCGTGGACGTCCGTCAAGACCTTGTCTATGCATACGGTTGGCCATCACGGCTTGTATTACCCATTAGGAAGGTCAAAAGAGCCCCAAGCGAGCATACCCCTCATTTCGACGATTTTCGTGTGCTATAGCACACCATTTTTTGGGTAATCCGGATTCCGACGTCAAAAATGCCAAATTTTTTCATGGACGTATGTCAAGACCTTGTCTATGCATACGGTTTGCCATCATGGCTTGTCTGACCCATTTGGAAGGTCAAACGAGCCCCGAAGCGAGCATACCCCTCATTTCGACGATTTTCGTGTGCTATAGCACACTATTTTTTGGGTGATCTGGATTCCGACGTCAAAAATGCCAAATATTTTTGTGGACGTCCTTCAAGACCTTGTCTATGCATACGGTTGGCCATCACGGTTATGTCCGACCCATTTGGAAGGTCTAACGAGCCCCGAAGCGAGCATACCCCTCATTTCGACGATTGTCGTGTGCTATAGCACACCATTTTTGGGTGATCCGGATTCCGACATCAAAAATGCCAAATTTTTTCGTGGACATCCGTCAAGACCTTGTCTATGCATACGGTTGGCCATCACGGCTTGTATGACCCATTAGGAAGGTCAAACGAGCCCCGAGCGAGCATACTCCTCATT